GGGCTTATTATTTTTGAGGTGCAGGAGGTGGCAAGCATGGCTGCTGCTGTGTTGCAATATTTTCAGGGAGGGCTTATTATTTTTGAGGTGCAGGAGGTGGCAAGCATGGCTGCTGCTGTGTTGCAATATTTTCAGGGAGGGCTTATTATTTTTGAGGTGCAGGAGGTGGCAAGCATGGCTGCTGCTGTGTTGCAATATTTTCAGGGAGGGCTTATTTTGGGGGAGGACTTATTTTAGCGCATGCGCTCAAAAGCACAATTGGGCTTATTATCCAGGGAAGTCTTATTTTCAGGGAAACAGGGTCCTGTTGCTATTGCTACTAGCATGAATTAATAAGTATCAAAGTTTAAAACATTTCGGGAGCACCGATTTGCCTATTTGTGGCATAACTTTTGCTAGGTGTGGGACCTTCTTTCTACCTCTGGAACTGGACTTGATTTCCGTGCTTGGTAATAGGCAGGCTTTCTGCATACCCCTATGACTTCCATTTTGTCTGCAAGAACATCTGTGCGTCTGTGAGGAGCTTCTATAAGCAAGTTGCTGAATGTGGGCTGAAGTGTTTGGAAAGTCAAGATTTATTACTGTGCTTGAAATGAAGTCTGACAGATGGTCAGAAATAAACAAGTGGAAGTTTATTTCCAGCAAAAGTTCATCAAAGTGTTTGAAGACTGAATGCCAATGAGTGTTACCTTGAGCTATGTAAGAAGTGCCCTCCTCTTTCACAGCAGCAGACAAAGGACGCGGGGCAGGTGCAGGCGGCCGATGCATAATAAAGGATCTGCCATCTTTCCTTTGCTCTTGAAGTCTGTTCTCCATAATAGCATCATACACACCATCATTTACCACAGCAGAAGTGTATGGATCTTCCTCATCTCTTTCATCAGAAAAACCATTTATCTCAGGCTCTCTCTCTGCCCCCTTATTTTCCACTTGGCCTTCCACTTTATTCAAGGCTGAAACCAACAGAATGACACGAATGTTATTAAACACATTGTCTGAATGAAAGGTTTGACACAATGTGGATGGACCTTTATAATGATGTGTAACCCTCATTTATTGACTACTTTGTTTAGTGAACAGTTTGCAGTTACAATGAACAATGAAAAAACAACTTTTTGACCAATCCTCACATTTACAACCTTCACAGGTCTATAAAGCAAAGGAAAGCGGACATAGGATCATAACCATAGTCATAGTTTCATTTAACAACCACTTTGTTTAACAAATGGGTTGCTAATCCCAACTGCTAAATAAGAATGATTGGTATGCATGCATTTCATGTTGATATATTATCTGTCTGTCTGTCTGCCTGCTTACCTACCCATCCATCCATTCATCTATCATCTCTCTCTCCATCCATCCATCCATCCATCCATCCATCCATCCATCCATCCATCTATCCTTCTGCCCATCCGTCCATCCGTCCATCCGTCCATCCGTCCATCCGTCCATCCGTCCATCCGTCCATCCGTCCATCCGTCCATCCGTCCATCCGTCAAT